TTCATGAGATTCATAAAATAAGGAAATATGTTCAAGATATGCATCTGATGGCATATACCTTCACGAAGTATTCTTTAACTGGTCATTAACGATAATTTTGCATTGCTTAATTAATCTGCTCAGCGAATAATAATCTCTATCATTATAGTCTAAATATTATTCTTAAATGTAATTTTCCTTCATTACCTTCAGAGCAAGCTAGAGCTAGTAAATTTTGAAACATTTGAAACTCCAAATCGTTAGGACATAATATGATTATGAAAAGTATTGTCCTTATACCTTGAATTTTTTCAATATACAACATTATTTAATGTTGCAGTAATGCTATCTGAAAAGTTATAAGTGAGAGAGTGTAATACAGTTGTTACCTATTTTGACGGTCCTGAACCATTGATCTGCGACGACAGAGTCTAATATCCATATCAGCACTAGTGAGATATACCCAAAGTCTAAAATTACATGTCTGTGGATCAGCATTGTTAATGTAATGTCAAACAAATTTAGCGTCCCGGAACAACCTAGTCTAAGTATCACCTGTAGTAGTAGTAGTATCAATATATTTGAGCTTTCGTTTGACTCACAAGTGCATATTTAGTTTCACTTCTCTATTGTCTCAATAGTTTGATTAAACATTGCCTCTGTAACGGTACACAATATGTAAGATATTCCAAAACTTCATTATACACGTTTTAAATGCAATATTCAAGCTCGCAGACAGTCCATGTATTTTGACTCCCCAGTGAACAGCAATATCCTATAGCGCGTTTTCTAAAAATCATCAGAAGGGTACTAAGTCTCGAATATTGTATTATATGTTATTTTTTATTGATATTGATCCTGCCAGTCAGCCACTGTTGTCCAAAGGCACACAATATTTCAATCACAAGGGCGTTACTAGCACACTGCAAATAGCACACTTCTGATGCAGCAAATAGTTATTGAATTACTGATACAATATGGTGACATTTGAAAAGGAAGGATGATAGATATGGATTCAGTATAATTAACAGTGCTGTACTTTGGTTGTAATAATATTTAGCATACTCATTGATTCACTCTAGTAGCGCGAACATATTGAGAAAGGTAGAGAATTTATGAGAATTGCTTTTAGAAGCTGCTTTTCACTGTAGTAGAATTCATGGAATATGTTTAATAAAGAGAATCATGTCATATATCTTTACAGACATCAATTATTTGATAAAACAATCATGTTACCTTTTGGGATTCTTACCTCCCTAACGGTTATTGCAAATCATTACAGTTATTTAATATTTTGGTATCTGAATTTGCGTTTGTGTTTGAACAGATTGTTCCAGTTCAGTGTGTGACAGAGAGAGAGAGAGAGAGAGAGAGAGAGAGAGAGAGAGAGAGAGAGAGAGAGAGAGAGTTATGGACGGATATTACCATGCCATTTATTCCAATGTCTCTGATTTTATTCGTAATCTACAGACAATGGCTCCCCATTAACAGCCTGTTTTTGTCACCATGGTTACTCTTAATCATTAAACGTGGTGTATTTCTAGTGTGATTAATTTACTCTTTTATCCCGTTTATTATCTGTTCAAACATTATGATGCTATCTGCCACCTGTTGGAAATTTGGAGATTCTGAAAAAAGAAAAGATAATAACCCAAAAAGATAATAACCCATGTCTGTGAGTGAATGACACCCATCGCCTTGCCTGCATACACCATCTCATATACCTTCACAACTATGAACGCATCACCAAAAAATAACACCGACTCATTGCCATCAAATTCAAAGCTGTACCAAATGAACTTGTAACCTATTTCTATAATTAATGCTGTATACAAAAAAATCATCCAAATGTATTGCCAGAAGAACTTCGTTAGTACTAAATTAAATAATATCTGAGTTAACTTGGGTTTGTAAATGAAAGATAAATTGGTAAAAATACAAGGATCGTATATGACAGTAATAAAACCAGAGACGAGTTAAAAACTCCGCTGGTGTTATTATTAATCGATTTCAAAAGAATATATTATAATTGTTGTAATTCGTAAAGTTCTGAATTATCAAAATTCTGTATAAAGCATGCGTCACCAGATAAAATGCTTTTATTGTATAATATCATCAGCAGTTGTATAAAACTTCCTTCTTTCATAATTTTCCAAATTTCAGAGGAAGTAGACACGTGATCTAATATCCACATATTTCTTCCTAGCATGTGCATATATGATGACTATACTATTATAGAATAATAAAATATAAAAGGTATAGAGTTAAAGGAAACATTCAATGTACTATAAGAGTATTCAAATAATATATCTTTAATTTTTGATGGATCGTTTTAATCGTAGGTATAGTAATGGAAGACTTTACAAAGATACTTGTACAGAAACACACTGTTTCAAATACGAGAGCGGTTTGAATAGAAAACAAGACGTGCAATGCAGAGACATTTCATTGCAAGTTAAAATTTCAGTGGATGAAGATATTTACATGAAATTTGTACAAAATGGTATATAAGTATTTTGAAAAAAATTATTAAAGGTTACTTAAACCACTGGAAACATCGATCCTTAACATATTAGGTATAATAACAGTTCTGGAAGCAGTAACAATTTCATAGCTTCATCGCTTGTTCATCTCGCTACAAATTGGCACGCATAATAACCATAATAACATCGAGGAATTAAATATATAATTGCTCACCTACAAATGTAGATTAAACATATATATATATATATATATATATATATATATATATATATATATATATATATATATATATATAGCCAACTTCAAACTTGGTTTCAAAAATAACATTGATTAATTTGATTCTTCCCCAGCAAACTGGTCAATTATTTTAAAAATGAATTATGTGAGATTAAATTTCTGTGTCTAATCGAGCGAAATGTGCTGTTACTTACATTGAATAGGTTAATATAGATATATAGACGTTGGAGCGCAGGAGCTCTAATGTAAGCAATTTTATAGGTGTACGCCCTTGTAAGTGCTAGAAAGGCACACATTTTCTATATGACCTGGTGTGAACATAATGTAAGCTATATTAGTGATATGCTTACATATCATATCAGTGAATGGTTATTATTTTTCAAGGTTTTAAAGATACACAAATCCTAGCAGTGCAATTTAAATACGTCTGACGTCCATATTTAAATGTCACAGTTAAATATAACAGCACGTATTAGACCCTGTGTCCCTTTCCACTTAGAAGTTGGACGTAATAAAATTAACGAATGTGCAGACTACTACAAATTACTTTTGAAAAATGCTGCTAAACAAAGTAGCGAAATGAAATGGACTAATAAAATAGTTATGAATATGGATATATGACCTAATGTAGTTTTTACTATTTTACAATAACAAAAACTCAACATTATCATAGTTTCAATCTTGTGTTACTCTCTTAATTTTCAAATGAATCTATCTCTGAATAAAACAAACATTGTCTGACACTGGTAAATGCAATTTTTGCAAAATGTCACGGAATCATTTCAGAAATTGTTTTGGGAATGTAATGCATTAATCAATTAAGGAATGATGTGTCCACTAATTTCCGAATAGAGATAACATTCATGTTATGGTAGGTGCTCAATCTGTTATTTTGGGAGACACATATATTGATGCAAGATATGAAAAACTCTGTTTGCCATTTATTCTAGCCCGATACTGAATTCATATGTGTACAATGAGCGGGCACATGACCATATCAGATTGATTGAACTCTTTTCTTAAAGACCTATATAATGTGAAAATGTATATTGCAATATTTCACAAGAGAGAAACATCGGTGCTGATTCTCAAAAGGGGGAACCATTTTTCACCTGTAACGATGAACATCCATTTTTAATAACATCTTGCTTTAGTACAAAGATTGTTGTTTGTAATATAATATTAATGCTAACATAACCAATTAATATATATTCGGGTTTGACTTGATAAAAAACAGGATGCAAGTTATATTATAAAAAAATTAAACGCGTACTTCTCAGTTCTTTTTTAAAACTACATGTATTGTTCATATTTTATAGTAAACTGTCAGGTCACTTTGGGATAGTACTCGGAAAAGGACCCAATAGTATACCTATAATAGGAATAATTCAACTAAAATTGATATACACATAAATTTGTTCTTTATGGTACAGATACTCCAGAGTATTTTATTCCTCACCAACAAAGCAACATTACACTTGAGGAATGTATACAACCATACATCTCAGATATCCATCAATCTCACGTTGCATAATGTTATTATGTTTAGCGATTTGATGGCTCTTGGATTACTTTCCCTATCAAAGCGGCCTATAAAATGCCAGATTTTATCTACACAATCTGATCAATGTATTTTTTGCTTGAGTCTTTCCACATACTAAATATGTTAAAATTAACTATTGTTATTTTATGGCCACATTCTAAATAATACAAGAATGCAAAATTAACTGACTTTGTAATACTTGAATTCCAATGTATCGTATAAATTTAAATCATCGAATGCACTTGTCTGCCAACAGTAATTATGCATCAAAATGGCAGTCATGAACTGTTTTGAATAATTTACAAAAGTCCCATAAAAAATATTTTGTTCCAATGAGCACTTTATATATTCAATGTACAATCAATACACAACTATCCATTGCTAGTCATGAAGAATAATCCAACCGTAATAACCCATCCAACAGGAAATAACTTTTTATTCTAAGAACCTACTTGATGACCAATCCAATTTGACAAAACATCAGATGTAAAAATTGCCAATATTAGTATATGGCTTAAACAGATAGGTAGATACCGATTAATTGACCTTACAAAATCCACAATATTGATACTTATATCATATAACACACCGTTATAGAAATTAACTAGAGCGTCCTATCATGAATACAACTAGGTATAGAAAACACAACATATGCATACAATGTATGGCTCACTAACGAACAAAGAATACATCATACCTTATTTTCAATTTAACCATATAATAGTCTTCGTTTCATTCATTTCCTTCCAAACTTAGAGTAACCGCTCCGTTGGCATATTGGTTAGTGCATCCGCCTCACATGCGGGAGGTCGCGGGTTCTATCCCCTGTCGAGTTATATCAAAGACTTACAAAAATGGTACTAACAGTTGCCACGGTTGACGCAAAGAATTAAGAGTTCATTGTTAGGAGTGGTCAGCCTGGTGTCAGGATAATGTGACTGGTGGGACATCATGCTGCATGTCTGCGGCAATATACCCCTGTGTATCCAATGGATGATCCTATGGTCAATGTAAACAAAATATATTATAGAGCAATATCCACCCTTATAGTAATCGTGTGTTCCTTATGAAACAAATGCCAGTTTAGCACCTAAAGGTTTATACTGAATGCAATATGATTGTATTAATTGTTATATGTCACCATGATCATACTATTATTTCGCTCTTTTTGGTCTTATACTCATCTTGCCTATCTATAATTATAGACTCTTTTCCTGATAATGCATATTCCAGGAATCTCGCTTGAGATGCAATTTTGAAGCTCACACAAAGTCGATGAACGTTAACCGTTGTCGCTGACTTTGCGCTTCTGGACAGAGATAATGCTCTGTAATCTGATCTAATTGATCAGCTTCCTGATTCAATTATAAATACTTCACATGTAAACGAGTTTCAATGCCAAGCCTGATATGATGAGATGCCTTGAATTGTTGTGTGGTTAACAGAATAGCAGGCACATACATTATATTCTTTGGCAAAGAACAATTTAGAACGTTAAGATCATCCTATTTGTACTAATCGCAATGCACAATCCATTATATAATTTAATTACACTCGAATTTACTGTTACTACTCAGATGTTAATCGAGGTTTCATAACATGATTAAGACTTACAATGCCATTACAGATTTACAACATAAAAGTACATGAAATATTCTGACATTCGACTCAAAACAACAGTAAAATAAAATGCATTATTTATCACATTTCCATTGATTGATTGATTGCATGACGAGTATAATGACGTCCTACATATGAAGAGACGTTTAGTAAGACATCATGATGGAAAGTATTAGTAGCCTAACATCCAAAACAAAAGGAAATTAATTAGCATTTCCCGTGAACCAAATAACTATCATAATACATTTTCTAGATCTAAACGATAAAGGGGTGCATGACGATAAAGTGAAATGCATGATGATAAAAGGATGCATGACGATAAAGGGAAATTTATGCCGGTATAATGATGCTTGAAAGATATTTTGTGTGAATGTATTAATTGCAAAATATGTAACAAATCTCAAATATAATTTGGCGTTGTAAGAAATAGATGTAAAATAACACAAAATTATGAATATGGATAACAGTAGAAATAAAAAAGTGCTGCATCTCACGTCTCCTGTTACATAGAGTGCTTGTTGATATCTTCTTTTAGACATAAATGCGTTGACTTAAATGTTAAAGGATTGAATGGATGCGTATAATAAAATAAAAATACCACAACATCAACAAAAATAACAATTACCACTGCTATTACTTCCTCTACTAATATTACTTTCAAAACTGCTTATGTTACTACTACTAATAATAGTAATAATAATACTAGTTGTAGTGGTAGTACTAGTAGTAGTAATATTAGTAGTACTAGCAGTAGTAATAGTAGTAGCACTAGTAGTAGTAGTTGATGTTGTAGTAAGAAACCTAATGCAATTAGGAAACTGATTCAGGAAAATAAGGTTTTTTAATGATACAGTTGCTTTAAAAGAATAATAGACTCTTAGAAGAAATCGTATAGTATTCACGGAATTCTCAAGATAGTGATTTAGGATAACTTCAATATGATAAAATAGATAGTACTGGGTTTGAACGTAGGAAGCAACATATATTAAGACAGAGAGTCTGCGGCAGTGGACTTTGTGTCATATATCGGAACTATTTATTTTGCTGCCATCTTTAGGAATGCAGAGGATATCATGTCGTTTTAGGGCATCACTTCTTACCACCGCCCATTTTGTGTCATTTATTTCCCGACCAGCTTTTGGGCGCTATCTCGCTTTAGGTACGAATCGATTTCTCACTATTTTAAAAAAAGCAAATTGCTATGTTCGCCCATTCCTTACCACCTTCTCTATGGAGTGTACTGCATTGTGTGCCATGGCTATTACAATATTTATTTCTGTACGTTCTTTTCTAACCTGTGATGACTATTTTGAAACGACATTTATACTATAAAGGTGCAATCAGTCATGATTATAGCAAGTATTTATATATAACGTCTATAATGACTCTGTAAATTAAATTAGCACAATGTAGTGTGATTATAACGGTTTCATGACAACTTATATCCTAGAGAAGATGGTGCATACGAATTTTATTTTAAGAAAATATGCAAATGTTTATTTGAACGGCCTCAAAGAAGGCATCAATGCATACATACTTTTCATTCACGATTAAGACTGTCAGAGAAGAAACACAAATGACGAAGCTTCCCCTCATGCTTCATTCCTGAAGCAACTGTTGATTCTAATATAGCGGTGCCTACCAATAACTGATATGAAACATGTATCTGGTGAGACTGGTGAAACAAAGCGTCTCAGTAGGTCAAATTATATAATTTATAAGATTGTCAGCATTCATTTACCTTTTATATCCCCGTGAAAAACGTACATAGTTCAGAGAATTGTAATAAAAATAAATGTATCACATACTTTTCTCAAAATGAGGCTTCTAGTAATACTTCCATGCCATACATAAAATGAATCAAGAGAACTTTTCAAACTCATAATTTACGTGAGTCTACCTGGTCTTATAACAAACCTGCTGAATAATGTCATAAGTTCTCTAATTTTGTAGCTTTTTCCTACTTGGGACAAAAAGTAAATAATTATCTTAATTTCATTTCGGATCTATTGATGCATTTGAGACTGAATGTATAATATTTTATTGCATGTGATATACCTAATTAGTTTGGAAAGAATTGACTTCAAGGAAAGAAATGTCATTTGAGATGAACAATTGTAAGAAATAGTGAAGAGTTCATTCGTTTAATATCAAAACATGTACACTATGTACAAAAGTGTGGGCAAATTCAGAGATATGAGTTAGTATTGACACAAGGTCTTAACTTATACATATTACCCTACAAGGGAGAGACTAATTCAAAGGTACAAAACAACACACTCCATTTATGTGTGAATAGTTTGAGTCATTGATAAGGAGGCTCACACTTTTAGAGATGGTGTTTATATTTATAATGCATACTAATATGTATCGGTGGTTTGCCGGCATTGATCGAACTGAATACAATAACTGAAAAATGAATGTTTATGATATAAACATATGCATATACTTAACAAAGTTGAAAATTCGCAAAATTGTTGCTCATATACAACATTCTTACAATGTATGACATGGCTACCAACGGTAAATCTGATCCCTGTCAAACCAATGCATGGTCAGTCAATTTGCTTGAATGTGATATTTTTACAAACATGCTTGAAAACAAAATCATTTTGAAGCAAAACGCAGCTCTACCTAAATGCTTCTCAGAGCTTTTTAAAATTGTAATTTATTCAATAATTAGATGAATTGTAATATGGCATACTGCAATTATCTGCTAAATTGTTGAATTAATATTATTGTTCATTATCAAATGCATCCCATCCATGAATAATACAAAATTGAAACCAAGCTATAACAATATTCTATGAAACAAGCTATGAAAATCGTAATTATTTAAGAGATGCTTCCTTTTATTTAATGTTTCATTAAGGATATGAACTTTTTCATGGTGCGAACCAGTGTTAGACTAAAGAAAATACAGCAATTGCAAAAGGCAGTGCCATTCCGGAGAACTCTAGAGATGAATAGAATTTGCAGAAAATGACATTGCTCTTGCGACGATAGTTATAATATATCCTTGTTTCGCTATGTCATGCATGAAATTTGGTTCGCTTACAAGTACTGTAGACAAAATGCCTATCAATTAAAGTAAATCTCTTAGTTGAAGAACGGAAATTAAAATGTATTCCTTAGGGAATAGTTTAATAACGTTTACAAATATTTCTAGTTTGTTTTTGTGCAGCTGATAATCATGCTAAATTTATAAGACTCAATTTCAATATGTCCTCTATAAAAATGCATTGCACACACTTGACTGGTATAGAATACATAATGTCGTTGTCATCTTATGTCCTCGGGGTATTATATTTCAGCTTGTTTGTTTTAACCACTCTTTAGCTTTGAAAACGATCATCATTAATCACGTCAAACGTATGCATTATGTGGCTATTATGAAAATCACCGATTGAGGTCAGGTATAATGATCCTTTATTTTCAATCAGATTTTGTTAAACCGATTTTCATGGTAATCAACGAAAACACGGTAAAGGTAGTACGGTTTCTGGCAAATATGACTCATGTTTAGAGATAGAATCAACATGTTTCCTCTATTTGTCTGTTTTGACATCTATGCTGGTTGATATTCATTCAATTATAATTGAAAACGTCATGGAAATATGACGCACTAACTACCATATTGCATCACATGTAATTGAAAGTTTACGTAGCTTTTCTTAACTTACCCAATTTTAATATGGCTATCATCCTGCATTTAATGGAATTAATTTTATTAAATACATTTAATACACTTTCCTATTTGTGTAATCAGTCGAAACGACAAACCGTTTCATGGAAACATACACAATTTCTAAAATAATTTGTCGCTTGCTACTGGTCTCAGATGCAATCTAGATGTAATTATAAATCAGAGTAAAACACAATTGTACATTAATTTTTTATATGCTCCTAAACATTTCTCATCGTTCATATGTACTTGTAAGAACATAACATTGGACTAAAACATTCTAATGATATATTTCTTCGATGGATGAAGTCGACAAATATAAAAAATGGATAGTCGAAATAAATAAATCGAAAAAATAACGACAACAGCGTATCTGGAGAAAAAATAATAGACCCGTCTTCGGATTTTTCTAATAAAATACTGTAATATAAAAGATCGTAATTTAATACTTCTATCTTCTCACAAAGTTTAGCACATATGGTATCTGCCGAGGTGTTACCTAATATTTTATTATTGTGAATCAGATGTCTTGG